ATCTATTAGCATATATTATATAATAATCAGGCTACAGTGTAAACAAGAAAATGTGTGGGAAATTGGAAAACATTCAATAACGGGCCCACGAGATGGGCTTCATATATTTGTACACCTATAAGTTGTTGGTTTCCGGCTCAATCACTCAATAATAATAATAATAATAATAATAATAATAATAATTATTATTATTATTATTATTATTATTATTATTACTATTATTATTAATAATAATAATAATGTTAGCAGCAGTAGCATTTAAAATTCAAAGAGACTTGTTTTTTGAATATCTGAATATCGGCCGTATTTTATTCTAACGAATGAAACGGAAAGAAACAATGTTTAGTGTCACGAACAAAAAATACCAGAAAGAATAAACTGAAAACATTACAATTATTGATGAAACTAAAGAAAACCTCATCTCGGATCGGCCGACGCTTGGTTTAACAAGAGTCACGACGTCGAATGCGAAACGAACCTGGGGTCGAAAAATATACTGTACTGTTTCTCTAAATAATAAGATTGGTCACCATCAGCGGATGATTCTAAATGATGGTCCACCTAAGCCAACACCAGCTAATCAAAGGAAAGATAGAAATAAAAAAAAGATAAAACGGACGGAAGGAGAATATAAGGAAGTCATTATAATGATGTTGGGCACAGACATTCAAAGTAGAGTGTAAACAGTGAAACTTTGAATCCAATCTCTAATTAAATACTTTCATTTATTTTAGGACTCAAATGATAACTTGGTAAGTGATTGTGTCAAAAATCATTAAAATTCCAATAATAATAGTAATGCTCATTGTCATAAATATTACTGTACGGATGCAGCAATTGACAAAAGAAAGTAAAAGTTTTGATAAAACATTAAAAACAAAGTTGGTTGTTTTGGAAGGCAACAAATATGAGGCAGAAGTCGGATATTAACAAGATTTTCTTTTTGTTTCATTTCATACATTTTTGCAAAAGAACAAAAAAAAACACATCACAAAATCACGTAAATTGCAACAGTTACCTTGCACTAGTAAATATGTCCCGATGTATAAAAAGCCAATATTGTTGGTAACCCATTTGCCGTCCGGGGTCATTCATATTCCGACTACAGTACAATGATTTCCGCTAGTGGGTGCAAAAAGACGTCTGTCGGCAGGGTTAGGGAAACATTTCTTTTTTTCGCTTATTTGTCATTTTATTTTATTTTTTTCTTTCTTTTTCGAATTTTTATTTTTTAATATTCTGTCATCATGAAATCAATGGCGTTCCTTTGGTCACGATTAATTATTTTTTTCGGTATATATTACCGTTACCTGTACGATCATTGTAATCGTCCTTGGTTCATTGATCAGCATCAGTATTTAAAACACCATACCCCACCTTTAAAATTTTCTTTTGATTCATCATAATTTGGGAATAAAAATGAAAAAGAAAAAAAAATATTATTCTTTTTGTGAGGGAAGAAAAAGCCTTTAATCCATTGAAATAGGCCTTTTCTCTTTGAAATTTTGGAAAGTTTATTCTTATAGACAGGCACTATACACACACACGCGCATGCACACACACACATGCATATATATATATATATATATATATATATATATATATATATATATATATATATATATATATAATTGTGTATTTGGGCATCAATCCCTCTTTTATACAAATTTTATTAAGGACGACTAATAAGATCCTGCGATTAAGCGTTTTATTCAATTTTTCAGTGATTTCTTTTCTGGACACAAAGTGTGTGAAAACTGTCCAAATTTTCTCTATATCTGAGCGCTTTCGGCTATTCTATTAGCCATTATCAAGGATGTTTTTCTTTGTTTGTTTTTTAAACTGAATATGTAGATTTTATGTGTGTCTATAGTGATATGAACCTTTTTTTATTTTCCATGCACGGACAGTATATTATGTCCGTGTTCATAGTTGATTTTACTGAGTGTTTTTATTATTATTATTATTATTATTATTATTATTATTATTATTATTAATATTAATGCTTCTATTATTTTTAGTCTTTTTTACACAATTTTTACGGAAACGCACGGACATATAAAACATTTGAATAGTTTTTACAGAATTTATGTCCAAAAAAGAAAACATTTATGCGAGCACAAGAAAAATTGAATATAAAGCTTAATCGCAGTACCTTGTCAGTCATATTTAATTAAACTATATATATATATATATATATATATATATATATATATATAATTCATATATAATTCACGATTACTTTCAGAACAAATTTTATTCCATTCCTTTCACAATCCGTTATTTCGGCATATTTTAAGTTTCTTTTTTTCTAAAGATTAATAAGCATAACATTTTAACAGTTGCTTCATTTCATAATGACACCAGCGTTTGCGTGTACATTTGAACTTGCTGACATATATATATATATATATATATATATATATATGTGTGTGTGTGTGTGTGTGTGTGTGTGTGTGTGTGTGTGTGTGTGTGTGTGTGTGTTTGTTTATATATGCGCATCAACCTATAAATACTCAGGTATTCATGAATGAACAGGTAGATTGTTACGTTTGATATTAGATGGGGTAGTTGTATTAGGTATCGGATTTTATTAAGTATATGATAGATTAGGTTGTTAATTTTATATAGTAATTGTGAAACACAGATGTGAGTGACCGCTAAATGCGAGGAACAAGACTTAAAAAATTCTGATCGTCAAATTACTTTCTGCTTATAGCCATTTTAAACCGTATCTATTTCGTAGATATAAAAGATGATTATTAATTAAACAATGAAGGCATGTATTTTAAAATTGTTTTTTTAAACGTGTTTGTATATATATATATATATATATATCCATATACATGTGTGTGTGTGTGTGTGTATGTGTGTGTGTGTGTGTGTGCACGCGTGCTCTAGACCTATTTTAGTCGAGCAGAAAATAAATAAAAGGGAATAGAGATAGGGTGATTGTAGTGCGCCAGTCTTCAACGTCGCGGAGGCGCGTCGGCTTTCCCGCTTCAGATTTAGCTTTCGAAATTCTAACTTTTACATGGTGAAAACGAAATAATATCAGCCAATATATATATATATATATATATATATATATATATATATATATGTGTGTGTATATCTGTGTGTGTATATCTGTGTGTGTGTGTGTGTTTGAAGTTGCCAGTTTTGTCATGATTAAATGTTTATTTTACGACCGCAATACAATGAAGAGGAAACTTGCGCAGCATCTTCCTCGCTCGATTCCCTCGTTTATGATTATTACTTACAATGTCATTGACATAGAGAGCAGTATATGCTGTTTAGTGCTATTTTCAAAGGATTTGGGGATTTGAGAGCAAGTAGTTAAAAACGACACCAATCATATTGTTTGCTAACATCACACACAGACACACACACTCTCACACACACACACACACATACATACATACATATATATATATATATATATATATATATATATATATATATATATATATATATATATATATATATATATATATATATATATATATATATATATGTGTGTGTGTGTGTGTGTGTGTGTAATATAATGTAAAATTTCAGCTTGAGTATATTCATTTTGTCTTTTTTCATATATATATTTCGGAACCGGCATGCTTTAGCCCGCTCGGCCACGGAGAGCTTCTCAGCCCAGTTCAATTTACCCTTTAAGAAAACAATATCGTCGAGATATTCTCGAAAGCCCATATCTGCTGACATTTTATTTTTATTTTTCGTATCCGAAACGCAACCAATGTAATTTCTAAGGAATTCATGGATTTTCGCTTACGAAAAAAAAATGTCCTTAGATATGGAACGTTCGGGCAAAACAGGGCTTTCGATAAGATCCTAGCGAGAGGGTGTGCATTCTTTTAAAGGTTGATTGAACCTTGCTGGTGAGCGACACACACACACACACGCGCGCGCACACACACACACACACACACACACACATATATATATATATATATATATATATATATAACAAGTTTATACATGCATTTATATCTGTAAAATATTGTATGTGTTTGTATAAAGTGTCGTCAGTGTTTGGCTATTCTGGGAAGAGACGTGGAGAATTGGGTCTTATAAAACTTGAACCGTAACATTACATTTTTCCAGATTGGTTTTAAAATGTTTGAAAGTGTTTACAAAGAACGCCACACCGAAGTCGGTATAAATAGTTTGAAGGTAATTGGATTTTCCAAGTGTATAATTGTACCGAATTGCAAAAAGTTTTGTTCATTAAAGAACTTTGATTTTCTTTTTTTAATGAGTCGTTTTGTTCGCAAGGCTCGTAAAATAAATTCGTCTTCAGTTCGGGATTTTTTTTTATAATAGGTATTTTACAAACACAAGATGTATTTACTTTAATAACTCGCTTAAAGTTTACATTAATTAATGGCTAGTTGAACATTCATAGAAGCCATGCATTATGGATTTTAAAAGGTATTAAAATGCTCTAACTGCTCCGGATGTGTTAGGTTGGAACTAAAAAGCCGAATAAGTTGGGAAGGGCGATATAGGAATGTGGTAATGAGCGAGTATATGCATACACGTTTATTTGTTCTGTGTAGGGGTGGGCGAGACAATAGAAGAGTGAAAGCACCTGTTAGTTATTGTTACATATATCACCAATATTGATTTAGTGTGCATGGGGTCGGGGATTATGTTCGCGACACAGTTTTTAAAGCTTCTTTTTCATTTTTCTTTTCTTATTTTTTTTAATAAAATAAACTTAAAAATCAAATCATATTAAACAAATATTAACAAAACATCGACAGTAAGATAAACAAACATTTGAAATTAATCCTTTGTTGTATTCAACTGACGCCTGGATTAGCCACGTCGGGAAAGTAATCCGTTAAAAAATGAATTCCCGGGGGAAAAATATAATTTTAGTGTTTAATTCCATTTTTTTTATAAATAATTCTGCGCCATTTTTTTTTAATTATGTTTTAATCCCTTTTTTTTTTATTTTTCGCGATTTTTTTTTTTAAGATTTAAGAATAATAATCATCTTCATCGAATTCCGTTTCATCCTGGTCGTCTGATTTACTTATTTGCAGTAACCACTGTTTTATTCTCCTTTCCTGAAGAGCTTTACTACCGACCCGAGACCTCACAAGAGGCGAACGACAGGCCGGATCGTAGACTTCATCAAAGGGAGATCGTCTCTGGGGCCCAGGTAATAGAGGTGCTGGCTCCTCCAGTCGACATGGAGGTGGAAGAGGCAACGTCCGACTCGGCGACAGGGACAAATCTGTACTTTCGGCCTGTTTTTCAGAGTCGGTTTGTTCCCCTTCCATACTGCGTTCCATTTCTGCTTCAGGCAGGCTCTCCGGCTGACCGTCCTTCAGGTTTGACCAGGAGCGCGAGTTCCTCCTCATGCAGGAGGGCACTTCCTGTGTATGTTCCGGGTTGGAAAGATGGCGGCGGAGAGTGTGCGATCGCTGCCCAATCAGACCACCAAGATCACCTAATCGTTCAAGATAGGATGTCGTGTCGGACGAGTCGTTCGAAATAAGTCCAATGCTTCGGGCCGTGCAATCGCTGTTCAACGACACAGCGCTGCCGACCCGACTGCCTTCTCTCAGATAGTTCGAAGTGCCGAACGTCGAAAGCCAACAGTAATTAAGGTCCCCCGGGGATTCCCGTTGACTCAGTTCAAGGTTCATAGAACGACGGGTCATCCGCGGGGAGCAGTACAGTCCTAGCGCGTGGTCGGAATCTTCGCGCGAACCCCGTCTGTCCATTCGATCGTCATATGGATCATCTCCGCCATCAGGTTCAACCGATAGATTCGGTAAACTGACCGCAGGAATGCCCAAGTCGGTCGGGGATTTGGAGCTGCCAATTGAGGTTGTGTCTTCGCTACGGTCCACAATGTTCAGCATGATTCGAGGGACAGTAGCTGCCCGTTCTGACATTGGGGTCCGCTGCGGTTTGAGTTGTGTCCGGTATAAATCTGCCGGGCCGTCTAAACTCTCACCGCCCGATTCCTGGCCATCGCTGGTGCTGGTACCGCTTTTTGCTTCGTTGGACATTAGTCTTTCTTATTTGGTTGTTGATCAGAATATACAACCTTGGTTCAAGGGTTCGATCTCTGAGCGAGGCAAATTGATCGAACAACAATAATCACGATTATTTCAAGTAAAACTCCTATGTGAAACAGCAGTGTTCGACCGACGATTGAATAGAGAAAACAGAGAGGCGGAATGAGAGAGGGAGAGAGATAGAGAGAGAGAGAGAGAGAGAGAGAGGAGGGAGCTGTGAAGATAGAGAGCGTAATAGGTTAGGGATTTCACAACATAAGAAAAATCTGATGACGGACTTCGTCCCGTGACACAGTGGCTTGGTTGAAACGAAAATTCAGGACTTAACCGAGTCGCATTATTCTGCTTGTAAACGATGAGTAGTAAGACGAAAACAGCTGTGAATGGATGCGGTTGGTGTCGAGGCAAAGAAATAAGAGAAGCGTACAGCGGACTGCGACAGTAGCTGGGACCTTAAAGGAGTTAAAGCTGACAACGGTGACTGGATTGAAGAGTCAGATGTCACAGTCATATTGACAAGCACTGGATTTATTTGTTGTTTTTGTTGTCATTGTGCTTGTTGTTATTGAAGTCGGCGGTTGTGGTAGTAGTGGTAGTAGAAATGTTGTGACTAGTTGTTGGTAGGAGGTTATATAGTTGTGGTTCTATTTATGATGGTGATGATGATAAATGTGTTGTTTTGGAAGGAGGAGGAAGAGGAGGAGGAGGAAGAGAAGAGAAGCTGGAGGAGGCAGCATTAACTGACAGAAGAAGAAAAAAAAGGAAAGACAGTCGGAAAGAGGTACAAACAAATAAAAGACTGTGGATGTGAACTTGGTTTGAAACGTAAAGAAGAAGAAAAGAAAGAAAAGAAAAAAGTATTTAAAAAGAAGACGGAAAGGATAAAATGAAAAAAAAAGGAAGAGAAGGAGGAAAGAAACAACAACAAAAAATGAGTTAGTCACGTGAGGGAGGAAGAGGTAATGGAATAAGAATTATTTTAAATAGCGAAAAATGAAAAAAAAAAAATGGTTTCAAAATCATGTAGAAATTCCAGAAATCTCCTAAATTTTGTAGTTATCGTCTGCTGATTATCCACATCAACATCAAGTTTGTTTTTATTAATAATCCTTCGACTGCTGCTTGGAAAACGCTTGTCATTCGACGTTTACCAAAAGCAAAAATAAAATAGTGGCCTTTGCATCGTCTCGACAAATGTGTTTAAAAGAAGCAAACTAAAAGATCGAGGTAGATTACCGAACACACGTATAAACTAAAACAAGGTCCAGGAATAAAAAAATTGTTAGGTAAATCCAGTCCATTTGTCCGGTTATCTTTTATCGTCCGGGTTGATTTGTTTGACTGGAGCGAATCTTTTGTCAGAGGTGACGGCCCAGCCGTCGTACTGACAAACTGACGGACAGGCAGGCGAGCAGACTGGCTGGTTGATTCCCTCGCTCGCACTCAACTTGGCTGGGTAGTTGTTTCGTCTACTTGGTTGGCTGACTGTTGAGTGAGTTGGTTCGCTCCTTGTCGCCGTGTTGTGTTTCGAGTTCTTCGTGATGTGTGGATCATGATCACTTCCAACAAATAGATGGGTTAAGTGTTAGCGTTGGTGTACAAGAAAATTAGTGATTGTTAGCAGCAGGATACAATTTTGCATATTCGTCCAAGGGGAGATGAAGTCTTTTGTAAGTGAGTGAGTGAGTGCGAGAGTGAGAGTGATACAGCCAAATAATGAGAGAGTTCAAAAGAGCGAAAAGATGAGAGAGAGAGAGAGAGAGAGAGAGAGAGAGAGAGAGAGAGTGTGTGTATGTGTGTCTGTGTGTACGCGCGCGCGTGTGCACGTGTATGTGTGTGTGCGCGCGTGTGCGTTTGTATGTATGGAGGATGGATGTGAAAAACAACAGAAATGCACTGGATGATAAGACAGACAGTAGTCATACATATATATATATATATATATATATATATAGAGAGAGAGAGAGAGACTAAAATATTGCAGCTGTTGTGCCGGTTAATTTTGCAAGCAGTTGCTCGTAAGATTCATAGATAGTGTTCCGATATTAAAACCTTGTACCAAACTAGAAATACAGAAATCGGCATGCATGCACAAAAACATATGTATTATTGTACGAACAAAATAAATCAGATATGTCTATATACGTACACACGACCCCCCACACACACACACACCAACAACAACACATGCACACACACACACACACAGACACTAATCCCCAACAAGTTTGTTGCAGCACAAGGCCTGGGGCGCTTAGTGTAGATCAGTATAAAGAAAAGCAAAAGACCTGCGTTTGTAGCTTGCTAATCAACTCTTCATGGCAGGCCAGTCCATGTGGGCTATTTATTCAGCTTGATTAAGTTTGACACAAGGCACAAATAGTGACATGAGACAAAATCATGGGCAGAAACACTACACTAGACCGAATAGCCTGCAAAATATTGCTCCACAGAAGATATCTTGAATATGTACATGCATATATATATATATATATATATATATATATATATATATATATATATATTCCTTATAAGAAAATGAAAATGAACAGTACTAGGGATTTTAATTTAATTCTATAAATAAATTTGAAGTTTTTAGTTTCTGGTTTTGAAACATGGTAATTCCTGTGTAGCGATGGATCCATATTTGTAAATTTATATTTATATATATATATATATATATATATATATATATATATATGTATGTATGTGTATGTATGTATATATATATATGAATAAGGGTAATTAGGGTAGTAAGTATTCATCCAAACAAGTTTTTTTATTTTATTGGAAAAATACAATAAAAAATTAAACAGACAAACCTTGGTTCTTTTTAATCAGACTTGTTCATGTATATATATATATATATATGTGTGTGTGTGTGTGTGTGTGTGTGTGTGTGTGTGTGTGGATGAAGCAGCCTCCCGATTTAAAATTAGATGCATGTATGTAACCACACCACGCATTTTGGCTCATGAGAGGAAAACTGTGGATAGAGAAAGAGACGCGTGGTAGAGAGGTGTAAGAGATGAAGGAGAAATGAAAAAAAGTTGATCGATTAACAGTATCATTTTTAACCTGTAGTTAAGAATTTCTTTTTACTGCTGTGCCTCTTTATCACGCCGTTCTCATTTTCTCTCTCTATCTCCCTCTCTTTCTCTTCCTCTCTCTCTTCTCTCTCTCTCTCTCTCTCTCTCTATATATATATATATATATATATATATATATATATATATATATATATATATATATAGTGAGATAAAGAGAATAGATAGGTATAAACATTGTTGGCCTACAAATCAACGCTGCATTCTGACTCTCATTTTCTCACCTTGAACGATCATCAGATTCACTCACCATGCAGTGTTGTTTTTATGTGCACAATATTTTTATATAGCTAATATATATATATATATATAGATAGATAGATAGATAGAGAGAGAGAGAGAGAGAGAAAGAGAAAGATAAAGAAAGACAGAGATTGATAAAAAATCGATATTAACGGATCTCAGTTTAGTTTGGTGTAACTTCTTCAAATAAGGTGTATATCAGCAAGTAGAAATGATTGTGTGGCGCCAATATTTCAAGTGGTGCCTGCCTGCCTGCCTGCTTGCCTGTCTGTCTGTCTACCTGCTTTTAAAATCATCATTCTAAATCCTGACATTTATTTGGACTTGAACCACTACAGCTACCACCATAACGAAAAACGTAAATATCTAAGCCATCAGTCAGAATACCCTTCTTTCTCTATCTCTCTATCTCACACACACATGCAATATATATGACGATTGCAAATAGCGTGAAACCCAGGGTCACAACCTCACACTAATCCAACTAAATATATTAGCTCTATCGCTGATATTGAGCGCTTTCAATAAGTACCGCGCATATATAATATATAAATAATATATGGTCACACACACACACACACACACACACACACACACACACACACACATATATATATATATATATATATATATATATATATATATATATATACATATTATCTATATATCTATATATACATAAAGTTCTGGTCCAGACCACTTCCCAGGATCGATACATTTATTTATTGAAATACTGATTTTCGGAAGTGAGTCGAGCCGAAAACATTTAAGCATTCCCTTGCACACCCCCACACATACATACACACATACACACACACATACATATATATATAGAGAGAGAGATTTAAAGAGAGAGTGAGAAAAAACTAGACAGTGATAGCGAGAGGGAAATAGATGATCGATCTATTTTCCTCTCGCATAGATAGATAGAGATAGATGTGAACAGACTGAGAAGGATAGATAGATAGATAGATAGATAGATAGATAGATAGATAGATAGATAGATATTTTTCTTTTGCTTTACTTCGTCTCCAATACCCCCCTCTTTCTCTCTCTCGCTCTCTCTCTTTTCTCTGTTACATTTATCTTACTTTCAATCTTCTTTCACTGTCCTTGTTGTTCTCTCTCACTTTCTCTCCCTCCTTTTCTCTGTCATATCCCCTCCCTTTTTCATGTCTCCCTTAACACCCTACCTCCAAATCTTAGTTTTTTTCACATTTCTATCTCGCTTTATTATTGTCTCAACTTTTTCTCTTCCTTATCATATATCTTTATACAACACACACACTCACGCACACACACATACACACACATGCACATACACATTGCTTAACTTATTGCTTCACAAGGCAATAATAATGAAGCGCTTAGTGAAGACTAGTTTACTTTACAATAACAATAGCCTGCAATGTTGGTTTAATAGTCATGGCTCTCTTGCAGACGACCTAAAGATATTTACTAATATTTATTAAGCTTTGTTTAATCTGGCGTTAAGTTTGCCGGTATCTAAGAGAACTCACACGATTTAGCAAATAGACTGGCAGTCGAGTTTAATTGCACTAGAGCAAGCGGCTGTTACATATGGACGTATAGTGATATTTTGATGTTTTTATATACGCAACTTTTCAATTCGCTTTCCCC